TTGTTGTTGCGTTGGCACCATGCTTGTTTTCAAGCCGGTGGTAAATATAATATAATATATATTATTGTTATTGCTAATATGATTAACTATACTGTAAAGTTTTTCCACATGCAGTGAGTCAACGAACCACTGGGACGTTCGGTAACAATTGCCCACATGGCACTCTAACCAAGGCTATGCTGAAATCCACATATACGAAGTTCACATTTGGTTTGTTGACCTTTGTTTTAGTTCAGTGTTCTCGTTCCAGGAAAAGATTGAAATACATGATCGTTTTGGTTCAAAACCATGTTGTTAAGGGATTTAACAATCAAAGGGGGGAGCTACTAGACGCTCCATACTTTTTCGCGGTGAAACATAACGGCAGGCAGCCGCCTGTAGCTTGTGGAAGTCGTCTTCAAGAAATGAGAGACAATGGCAGCGTCTCACATTAAACAGAGTGAACAGTAGCGGCAGAGTTGCAGCACCATCCAGCACAAGTTCCTTTATCATCAACGGACGTATACTATCCGGACCAAGTGAGTGATACGGTTTCAACTAATTGAGAGTAACGCAGACCTTCTCCGAAACGAATGGCCTCAAGGGAACTTCTGAAAGGGAAACGGGTTCCGTCAAATATCCGACAGATGCTTTCCGCTCGAACACAGATAAGTGGTGAATTGTCAGTACCTCCGCAGGTACGAAATCCCAAATGAGCGAAGCGTAGCCGAATCCCAAAACGAAGTAAGACTGATTCGTAGTGTTCTACACTACGAGACTGAGAACATCATAACATGTACAATACACAAAGCCAAATAAAACAGCCCAAAGTATTCGAATAACGCATTCAAGACTATCCGATTATCCGATTGACCTCGCTAGCAAACCAATCTACGAAGTTTCGTTTACGTTTCTTGGGAACCTTGAGGAATCGGCTTCCCGTCTTGCTGGCGTTGGTGTAGTTCTCAGTGAGAGATCTGAAGCCGCGATCCTGTATTGGATCCCAGCTGAAAGTAGGCCGTGTGCAGTCAGACTCAGAGGTTCGTGCAAAGTGAGAACCTGTTGCCCCGATAGACGAAAGGTGTTTATTATGGAGAGCGTACGCTCCAACGGACTGCGGCCCAAATGAAGTCAAAGATTAATTTCAGCAACAACTACACAAACTCTTCATTTCAATTTTACAATCCATTTATACTAATAGCCGAATCCGAGCTTACGACACCTTTTCGCCAGAGTTCATTAAAGAAAGTGGTGTTCGTCAGGACTGCCGTTTCTCTCCGTTTCTATTGTGGATAGAAAGAAGAAGTAACTGCTTTACACCGCCTCCGATGGCTTGGTTAGGTATGGAATATGTCTACCCAACACCTAACTTTCCGTGCTCTTTTTACAAAGGCTGGAAGAAACTTCGCGGCGCTCAGACCATTACATGACAGAGACGTATGAAAAAGTTAGCGTCATCATTGGTGCAGCCCGCCTTCCAGGTCGGAGATCAAAGGATGAAGATTGTCAGCGGTTAGAGACGCAGAGATATGTCCCAAAATAGAAGTCAGTGGTGAGAATACTGTACGGTCTGCCCGTTGCAATCTCGTGCCCCTTCAAAAGAACTAACACACAAAATATCAAAAGTGTACGGTGAAACAAAAAATTGTTATCCCTGTTATCCACTGCAAGGGCTTAACCTTCATTTCACTGTGTTCTGTATCCCAATCCATCGATCATTTGTCATAAATATTATCGTTGTGTCGTTGACACCATACTTGTCCGAAAGCCGGTGATATATATATATATATATACATAATATTCGAATAACGAGAACCAAATTCAAAGTTTAACGAGCACAAATGCATCTGTCGTTTTTAATGACGAACTTTAAGGCGGAATAACCCTTAGTGCACAAGCTAACGATGCCGCCATGGTTTAACACAACAATTTTTACACGGGATTTTAGGGAGGGGTCAAAACATCCTTACACAACAGATGGTGTACAGACTTATTCAATCCGGAACAGTTCAAGTGGGTGCAACGGAAATATTTCTCAGAGAGATTGGTTTCCATTCAAAAAAGTACAGACGCCTTGTTTTACCTCAGCACAATTTTCATCACTTCAATTCAATTTCTGGGACTGAAAAACCATGAGATGTACAAAAATCACAACCTAACAGAGATACGATGGTGTGCTGTACGATGCTGCTCACGACTCACGATTTCCCCCTTCTCTTAGTAGATTTACATTCTAGATGTTCCAAATTCTACTGTTTTGAGGCAATAAAAGAATTTTGTTTGTGGGCACATAGCCACTAAAGCACCGTGGACAACACAATCAAAAATGAAAAACAGTTTACCTGTATCACTGTGCCCGGTACAAAATCCCTAGGCAATGGTACTGTGGAGCTTGGGCCGTCCTGTTTGACGGAATCGGATACGAGGACCGAACTCTGGGCCGGGTTTGCCTCACCTTCTTCGATCGCCATTGTTGGTTGTGCCGGTTCCGGATCGATGGACAACTCTTCTGTTTTACGTCTCATTCGTTCGATCCACAAGTGATGCCATTCGTAGAATTTCGATTTCCAGAACTGCCATGTGGCGTACCGGAACACACAGAGTTTGTCTTTCTGAGGAGCACCGAACAATTCACCCAGGTGCTTATGTCGTGCATCTGGTGAATAGTCGCCGATTGTGATCAGTTCGTCTGGGAATAAGTGACAGAGAAAACCAGTGGAGTTGAAAACCGGACAATAAAATAACAAATCGAATTCGTCAAAGTGGATTGGTTACTACTCAAGCAATCCATGGACCATAATTCTCGGGACTGGGATTATCATTGATGTCAACAACAACACTGTGCTGTGGGTCATATTCACCACGAACGAAAAAATCTTATGCCGTTTTTAAAGGGAGACAACTACTAAGCAAAACCCCAGAACAACCTTGGACACTGCAGCATATTCATCATGTATATATATATATATATATATACTTTCTTTAATTTATTGCATACACAATAGTAAAATCAGTTTACAGGATGAAGACCGCGGCCAGCTGGGGGCTGCTTGGGGGAGAATAGAAAATGGGAAATACGGGCTACACTGGCGGAGTTCGAACTAGTGACCTCCATGATGCCATTCTGATGAATTGCCTCATCACCACCGCCTTGAACCCGCCTCATCTACGATTCGCCAATGTTTGATGGCTATTGCCTTATCCAAAACCTAGGGACCCACCAGTTGATATGCAGCTCTGCCTCTGAAACATGGACGGCTACATCAGACATTGTCGAAAGCTTCTTAAATATAAACTGGATTTGATTCATCAAAGGCGATTGAATAAAAAATCAAAAAATATTGATAGATCAGCGCTTTAAGGGCTCAGATGGTACGACTCGAGTGGAAAGTATATTGGTGATCATCGAGTAGGTCTTCAAAACGAACGAAATCGATCAACAAGTTCGGTTTCCACAATTCCAGGAAAGACGGAATGAAAGAAAATACAGGAAGTAGGACAAGTACTGGATTGATTAATACATGGACTGCGGCTTATTTTCAGATGTGAACTTTTAGTTCGATGAGAAAAACACCGTTCGGTGCGAACGATTGAGGTTTGTCTAGTGACTAAGGAATTTGGCTAATTTTTCAAAGGGAAAACAAGGAGGGGGCGATTAATCGCACAATAGATGGATGGGAACAAGACTGAAGTGAAACGAGGGGGAATTCCGTTCAGAGGAAAAGTTGCCGGAGGATGTTGGAGCCGACGGAAGAAGATTTGGTGAAGGATAAAAACGTTCTCATGTCAAAGTAAGGAACCCGAGTTTTCCATGCTTAGGATGAAAAAACGTTCTTTGGCGCTGGTGAAAACCGGAAAGCACAGTGCAAATAAGGATACAATGCTCTAAAGGCATTTCAATGCTATGCGTGATAGATCAAATCAAGCTACACGATAAATACGTTTCATATTTATTGAGTATGTATGAAACGATGGCCTTCCTTTTCCACAGCATGGAAACCAAAACTGACATAGGTTATCAGATGCAAGCATCATATTTACGCTCCTCATTGTAGCACACAGCACGGCACAGGGTGAACTAAAACGTAAGACGAAAGCTGGATAGAGGTGTGATCAAAAATCCAACGGATTGGGTGGGATGCACGTAAATAAACTCACATTCCCTATTGAATGGATTCGGTGCTCGGTAACCGGCAGCACGCAGCTGACGCATTGCCGATTGCATCTGCTTGTTCCGTCGAGAACAACAGCGCCAAATGTACCGCCTGGCCAGCATGTCCTCCTCGGCAAAAGTGGCTTTGGCCGCCAGGCGGGGTTTCCAAGCGTGTTCAGGACAAGGAATACGACCGGAAGTATCTAGAAGAGCGAACAAAGTGAAACCGTGAAGGGAAATCTTGACCCTTCCCCTAATAATTGTTGAAGTTCGCTTCCAAAGAAATACAGGGGATGAATCAGATAAATCTGCCGCCAAAAACCTGGTTTTCAAAGATACACGAGTTGCAATCGGAAAAGCTTTGCATTTATAAACGTGTTGGAAGTCAAGGAACAGTTTCCGCTGATTCCTGGTCATGCTGTCGCTGAACACACACACGGGGGG